GCGGCTTCTTGTTGATCAACTCTTGAATTTCTCCCTTGAACTCCCTCATGAAGGTCATGAGTTCGTTCCTTGTGATGGGAGCAGACCCATCAGTCGGCTGCTGCCGAACAGGCGGTGCGCCTGCTGGCTCGCTTCCAGTTTGAAGATGTTCCCGTTCCCTCCTTTCGGTATGACGGGTACGTCGGGCCCTTAGGGTCCCGTCTGAAGCTGTGTGAGCTTCAACTTCAAATTCATTCTCAGTATCGTGGTCCGACTGAACTAGAGGATCGTCCAGGGGACGTCTCTCTTCAGGAGCCGGTACAAACGTGGGTGCCATCTCAGAAGTACGATCCCCACAGACGGCGCCAAAATGTTTCGGGGTTTTCTGATGTCCTGCGGGAGAGTTACAATTCCGAGACTGGAACCGCACGCCTGTACCTGCAAAACAAACGGATGCTCCGGATGGTTGGAGATCCGCCTCCGACGGTCAAGTTAGTACTTGATTAAGGAGTAATTAATGCGGAAATTAAAGTGATTGGGTCTCTCTAGGTGAGAGTGTTTAATGTGTGTAATCTGCGTTGTTCGCGTCCTCTCCCTTAATGAGGATTAAGGGAGGTATTTATAACCTCGGGAAACGTGCCAAACTAGGTTTAGGTTAACCTTGGGTTGATTGGGCTTCCCTCGGAAGTTGGGCCTAGGTGACCGGCTTCTCCATTAGGCATGGAGTATGCCACGTGTCATGACATAATAAGTCCAGGGTAGACGAATAAGCGTGTGCCACGTGGCAAGCCCTGAGATGTCCAACTGGGGGACACTTGGCAGGACCTGATTGGCCCACGTGGCGCATTCCGATTGGTGGGAGCAAAATCCCCTAATCACTAATGATTTAATAACATTCTTCAGTCTCATACGAAGTATTTCATTTGTTTTAGGAATCTTAAACACTCCATGTTATGTTGCATGTTACTTATGGGCTAAGCCTTGCTCGGGCTAGCTAAATCGGCCCAAACGTAGTTCAGTATATGGGCTTTCAGTGTCAAAATCTCTAGAAATTATGGGCCTTCAAGCCCTTTAGCTCTATACAAAGCGGCCTAGGTATTATTATTATGCACTATGTTCAAAAGGCAACAAAAGATTAGGTAGCTAGTCCATATAGCTCATAAAAATTCAGTTCCTTGAATGGTACGGTCCAAATATTATCACATATTTATATAGTATTGTAATCAAAACTCCATAATTATACTTTCTTCGTTTTTTAATATCGAGAAACTTCAGATGAGGATTAAACCTCTGATAAGAAAGAGAGATAAAAGCACCAACCAATGCCATAGCCTAATTCTCGTTTCTAAATTACTTAACACAAGTAAATAAACATGTAAAATATACTATCATCCAAATGATACAAGTAGCAAATGCTTTATAGACGCCACATCATTTAAGGCAACTCATTCAAATTAAAACTCAAGGATGCGTTGAGAGTATTTATTACACATTTCATGTACCAAATGACCATGAATTATAGCATGAAGTCGTATTTATTACGTACTCATTTATATAATTATATAACGAGCCATGCATGAGGTTTATTATGGAGTACCAATTATGGCTTGAAGGCATTCCTCACTCGTTCAAATTGTTGAGGTCTAAAGTCCATAACTACCAACCGAAGGAAAATTTGAGATTTATAAAGGATATCATAGTTGTCCCTCTGTTTTTTTTTTTAATCCTACTCGTTTTTCGTTTTCGTTCGTTTTTAAAAGTCCAGACTCACTTTTACGATATTTCTTTTACGACAACTTTTATTTAATTTTTATCATCAACTATCCCTCCTTTACGGTAAACTAAATTGTATATAATAAATCTCACGCTCTACCTTTCTCCTCTTTGCTGTAAAAATACTCACATCATCTATCACATGTATTTTTCCATTTTTTTTTTCTTTGATTTTCATTGCTAAACTAAGTTGAAATCGGTAAAAGGTATTAAGCCCATGAGCAAACTCATATGTGAGTGGAAGTGTTGTCCCACATTGAAAGAGTATAAAAGTGAAGAGGAATATTGGGATGTGTATCCCACATTGAAGAAAAGAGAAAGTCGTGTCCACTTTATAAGGCTAAGGAGCTACTCCCCTTATTGCCATATGATTTTGAGGTGGAACCTCATTGGACTTGTATAGTAGACACTTGTGACGGGTGTGGCCCAGACCCGTTTATCAAAAGGCCAACGAGTTTGAACTTGATGATATCAAAGTCATAATGTGTGTTTCCCACCAATATCTTTATCACATACTTAAGAATACCAAAATTGGTTAATTGATTATTTCCTCCTTCATTTAAGTATGTTACATTATTCTATATAGCTTTAGTAAAAGAATATAAATTACGCTAGCAAAGTTCAAGATTCTTGGTTCATCACAAAAAGTAATTTAATGATGATTAGATTGGGCAACAAAAGCTTTCATTATTAGCATACAGGTGGATTCATCTGGCTTAATCAAATATAATTATTTGTGGTTATCCAAAAATATGCAAGAAATTTTGCACCAAACTAGTGTTAATAACAATACTAATTAGTAAGAGCATGTGACAACCATTAAACGATGTAGCATATAGATTCACAAAATTGGCCAAACTATTAAAAGAATATAAAATTGAAGTTCGGAATTATGATTTAGAACTTTATATTATAAAATGTATTATCATAATTATTTAGTATAATATCGTGTTACATTTTAATTAGTTAATTGGGTGGTTACAAGAATCCAATCAAAACCTAGCTAAGTATAATATATTATCATGCAGCTTGTTGCTCATAGGATGATACAGTCAAGTCAGTTGTTGATGTGCCTAGTCATGCTATCTACTCAAGACATGGTATAATTTGGCATACATAAGATAATGTCAAACTACTTTATAGGTAGTTCGTTAATTATGTGGGGAAAATTTGTTTTTATATCATAAACAACTTTTTTTTTTTTTTTTTTTTGGGACATTCCTTTTTATTATTCATAAGTCACGTAACATTATTTTTCTACAACTAAATATGTACAAACTTGGTTGTGTATGTTGGTGATTGGGTTTCTTAGTGTATAACTAATATAATTGCCTTTTATATATATGAGTAATATTTTTATTTGGGGGTATTAAACCGTATGTCTTTAATGGACCAGGACCTCTCGTAGTAGGCAAACTAAATAAGCTACATACATTAAGCCTTTGAAGTATGGATTGAGGGAGGAGGATAAGTACTGGATAACTAGATAAGTAAATTTTCTACTTAAGAACCACAATTGGTCATGCACGATAAGTATTAAATTATTAATTAATTCATGTCATAAATGATATTTTTACCAATTACAACAACTACTATTTATCGAAAATCCAAACACTCTTTGAATTTAAAAAAAAAAAAAAAAATTCAAACACTCTCTTTGCTAATTTTAGCAATTTCTTCCTTTCATTCACAAATTCCTTTGTTTTTCCCTTTCCAAATTCGACAAATTTTCTTCGTTTTTTCATGAATTTTTTTGACGTGCATAATTCTGAATTTACTAGGTTTAATAATACGAAGTATTTATCATGCTTCACTTTATAAAATAAATAAATAAATCCTCCGCAATTGTCAACATTCTCACACTAATAAATTAATATTGGAATGAAGCAATGGTCAGCTTTGGCCTTTGGGGTTGTCTCCCACTTGAAAACATAATTGGCACGGAAAGAAAGGTTTTTTTTTTTTTTTTTTTATTAGAAAAAAATAAAATAAAAAATCTTATTTAAAAGATTCTTTATTTAATCTTTATGAATCAGCAAGCAACATAGCCTAAACAAGAATCTCTAAAACATCAAAAGCTCTTTAAAGTCATTCTTATCCTATCTAATCCATTAAATTGCTTAGCCTTGCATCACATTTGAGACTTGGACAAAAGATGTAGATTTTTGCACGATCGATGATTTACCTATTTGTGGTATTTGGAAGTATACTAAAATTGAAGAAGAAAAATTCTACTAAAATTGCTTTGATTAATATAGGTATACTAAAATTGCTTAGGGTAAATCATCAAATTATACCACGTCGTTTTTTTTTCTTCTTGTAAAACTAATATTCAAGGTAGCGCGCGCGAATTTGATAAAATAGTAACGTTACTTAAGTAGCATGCATATTTTACCTATTATTAGCGGTTTGACTAATATAGGAAATTAGTGGTGTACGAGTTACATACAATCCGTCTCATTACAATAATTTTTTTGGTTCACCTATTACTCTAGTAATTTGGCAATACTTATAGATCAATTGTAATAGAAAATTAGAATCTTTGCTTTTATTTTTTGTAGCGATTTTACTTAATAACCCTATGCTTAAGATAGTGATTAATTTGAAAAAATTGTGCACTAAAAATGTATTCAAATGAATTCATTTTTATTTATTTTAGTTAATTTATTTGAAATTTTATTACCTCCCTTAAACTTGTATACCCCGCCCAAAATTCTTTAGTGCATAAAATTACATATTCTTTTCACACTTTTTAGCGCACAAACTAGATTAGACCCGTGCGATGCACAAATTAAAAAATTATTAGAATGAAATAAATTGTTTCTATTATTTATTTCCTCGTACATACTTATAAATTAGATCATAAAAACATATCTTTCATCATAAATTACTAAGTAACAAAATATAAAAATGAAAGCCAATCTGATCTAATCAAACCATATGCATACTTAAAAATAACCAATTCCTAAATAAATCCAAAAATATATATGACGTTATAAGTGCATTAGGCGGGAAATTTTTTTATGACTGTAATACAGTTTGAGGTGAGAATAATGTCAGCAATTTTCTATTTTAGTAGTAGTTAATAGATTTTACCATTAATTTTCAAATTTAAAGATATGTACGATCATAAAAAAAAAAAAATACAAATATTATATTGTAGGTGGACTTTTGAAAAAATACAAATACAAATCAAACTAGGGCCAGAAAGACAGTACATTCTTAAGAAAATCCAGGTGTTCAAATTGGAATAATTCAAAATTCCTCTGTTTTTCATTTTCCACTCTCTCCTTCCTTCTTCATCACTTTCCTCCTTAAACCCCCCTATTTCTCTATCAACACTCTTTCTTTTCTCTCTCTCTCTTTCCCCACCAAATCTCCATTATCAAACTCCCATTTCTTCAAAGCAAAGCATCGAATTTTCCCACTCATTCATCAAATTCCAATCAACCCAGAAAAATTCAATCCAAAATACGAAAATCAATTTCAATTTACCCAATTTCACTACCAAAAATCCCACAAAAAAGAAAGAAAAATTCATGGTAAATGCAATGGAAATTCTCTGGAGTCCAATTGGAGAATTGGGTGCTGGAATTACACAATCGGAGCTCCGAGAAACTGCGTATGAGATCTTAATCGGAGCTTGTCGGAGCTCAACTGGGTCAAAGCCCTTGACTTATATCCCTCAATCGGAGCGAAGTTCGTCAACGGAGAGAGATAGGAGTACGTCATCTCTGACGTCATCGCCGTCGTTGCAACGGTCAGTGACGTCAGCTGCGGCGAGTAAAGTGAAGAAGGCACTTGGGATAAGTAGTAGCAGTAGTAGTAAGAAAAGAGGAGAGAGAAAATCTGGGGGAACTGTTGGAGAGTTGATTAGGGTTCAAATGAAAGTTTCTGAGCAGACTGATTCTAGGGTTCGTAGGGCTTTTCTTAGAATTGCTGCTGGTCAGGTATGTTAATTAATTTGGGAACTTTGAATTTTTGTTATTGAATTTTTTTGATAGAATTTGAATTATGGTAGTGAAATGTTTTAGATGTAGGGATGTTAATAAGCCGAATTAAGTTGAGTATTCGAGTTAAGCTTGATAAGAATTGTTCGAGTTTACCATGATCAGGGTTTTGAAATATTTGCATTTAGTTTTTGATTATTGGATTACAATAAATTTGTGAAGAATTAATGGTTGAGATAGTGTGTGAAAGTAGTAATTTTTAGTTGAATTATAGTAGTATAGTGTGCTAATTACTGATGCAATGGTTGATTGGGTGTTTAATTATGATTTTCTCTCTTGGTCTGATTAATTGTATTGATCAGCTAGGAAGACGGTTAGAGTCGATTGTAATGCCATTGGAGCTATTGCAGCAATTGAAACCGTCTGATTTTCCGAATCAGCAAGAGTTTGAGGCATTTCAGAAGAGAAGCTTGAAGTTACTTGAAGCTGGGCTTCTTCTGCATCCTTATGTTCCCTTGGATAAGTCAGACACTTCTGCCCAGCGGCTGAGGCAGATAATCAAAGGGGCCTCGGAGAAGCCTTTAGAAACGGGAAAGAATAGCGAGTTTATGCAGGTACTTCGAAATGTTGTAATGACTCTTGCATGCAGATCCTTTGATGATCAGGCTTCAAATATGTGCCATTGGGCAGATGGATTCCCGTTGAATCTTCAGATATATCAGGTGCTTTTAGAGGCTTGTTTTGATGTAGATGATGAGACTTCTATTATTGAAGATGTAGACGAGGTATTGGAATTGATTAAGAAGACTTGGGTGATACTTGGGATGAATCAAGAACTGCATAACATTTGCTTTTTGTGGGTTCTGTTTCATCGTTATGTGGAGACAGGTGAAATTGAGGATGACCTCTTGTTTGCAGCGAGCAATCTTTTAATAGAAGTTGAAAATGATGCCAAGACTATGAAAGATCTCGACTATTCCAAGGTTTTGAGTTCTTCATTAAGTGCAATTTTGGGTTGGGCAGAGAAGCAGTTGCTGACTTACCATGATACTTTTGGCAGTAATAACATTGAGTTGATGCAAAGTGTTGCTACTTTGGCGGTTATTTCAGCTAAAATACTGGTAGAGGATATCTCTCATGAGTATCGCAAGAAGAAGAAGAAAGAAGTTAATGTGGCTCATGACAGGGTTGAAACCTACATCAGATCATCTATTCGGACTGCTTTCGCTCAGGTTAACACTTAGAACTTCTTTTTATATATCTGACATAAAGCCAGCTTATCTGCATAAGTTCTTGCCTGACCTAGTCAATTGCTGCCAACCAATAAGTCTGAGACACTGAGTTGTTGGAAAGTCTGCGCTTAAACTAAAACTTAACAGTAGAAGTAAACATTTGTGATTACAATTTTGAAGATGTAATTGTCTGCAGAAAAAAAATTCAAATTAATCTGTTTATTTTGCATCTCTCGTCTGTTGGTAGTCTAAATAATGGATTTCTCTTATGGTTTTTTCCTCGCATGAGGAGAGTCTCACCCTGTGGCTACCGGTACATTAAATTTCTTATATCTTGCCATGTTTTAGGCTAGGTCTTTTAACATTTCTATTTCTTTTCTTTACATATTTTCATTCCATTACACTGAATATAGAGTGTGTTATCTTATGACACAGAAAATGGAGAAGATCAACTTGAGCAAGCAGTCATCTAAGAAAAATCAGCAAAATCCAATACCTGTTCTTTCACTCCTTGCACAAGAAGTCACTGATTTGGCACTAAATGAAAAGGAGATTTACAGCCCTATATTTAAAAGATGGAACCCTCTTTCGGCCGGTATAGCTGTTGCAACTCTTCATGGTTGCTTTGCCAATGAGCTGAAGCAATTTGTTGCTCGCATCAGTGAGTTGACACCTGATGCTGTTCAAGTACTCCTAGCTGCTGATAGGCTGGAAAAGCAACTTGTACAAGTTGCAGTGGAAGATGCTGTGGAAAGTGACGACGGTGGGAAGTCAATAATAAAGGAAATGCCTCCCTACGACACAGAAGCTGTAATAGGGACATTGGTGAAATCATGGATAAGGACCAGAGTTGACCGGCTGAAAGAATGGGTTGACAACTATCTTAAACAGGAGGTACATGACCACCCTCCCCCCACCCCCCCCCCCCCCAAATCCCGAAAAGTTTTCATTTTCAATTTCTCATGTTAAAATAACCTTAATGGCTTATTCTTTTCTATAGGTGTGGAATGTACAAGCAAATAAGGAGCGAGTTGCCCCCTCTGTTATTGAAGTTCTCCGTATTGTGGATGAAACTTTGGAAGCATTCTTCCTGTTACCAATACCTATGCAGCCTGCCCTGATTACTGATCTGACTATCAGTCTGGACAGATGCCTACAGCATTATATACTGAAGGCCAAATCTGGTTGTGGTAAGTCATAAAGAATTATAGTCCTCTTATGCTTGTATGGTGATCATTTGCATAACTATCTGCAACCCAGACTTCTCATTTCCATTTTCACCTGCAGGGACTCGGAAAAATTTCATGCCTACCTTGCCTGGCTTAACGAGGTGTTCAGCTGGTTCTAAGTTTTTCAAGAAGAAGGAAAAGTCCCAAATTTCCATGAGAAGATCACAGGTTGGAAATACAAATGTGGGAGATCTTTGTGGGGTATCACAGTTATGTGTCCGCATCAACTCAATGCAGTGTATCCGCTCTGGAGTTGATGCTTTGGAGAAAAAGACCATTACCTATCTAAAAAATTCAGGATCTACTGACTATAAAGGGTTAGGGACAAAGTTCGAACTATCCATCGCTGCTTCTTTTGAAGCGATCCATCAGCTTTGCGAAATAACCAGCTACAAAATTGTTTTCCATGAGCTGAACCATGTTTTATGGGACAGTTTATATGCTGGTGAGGCTTCGTCTTCTAGAATTGAGCCTTTCCTTCAGGAACTCGAGCAGTACTTAGAAACTATTGCAACAACAGTGCATGATAGAGTAAGAACCCGTCTCATCACCGAGGTTATGAAAGCTTCATATGAAGGATTTTTGTTAGTTTTGCTTGCTGGAGGCCCTTCTCGCGCTTTCACTCAACAAGATTCCGTCATAATTGAAGAGGATTTCAAGTCCCTCCGTGATTTGTTTTGGTCCAACGGGGATGGTTTGCCTTCTGAAGTGATCGACAGGTTTGCAACAACCTTGAAAACTATCCTTCCTCTCCTCCGCATGGACACTGAGTCCTTGATTGAGCAATTCAAGCAAGCAGTTACAGAGACCTACGGCCCTTCTGCCAAATCCAGACTACCTATGCCCCCAACTACCGGGGAATGGGATGTAAGCGAGCCAAATACACTTCTAAGAATACTTTGTCACCGTGATGATGAAGTGGCAGCAAAGTTTCTCAAGAAAACCTATGGTTTGCCCACAAAACTGAGTTAAACTGCCCTAACAACTGCAGAATCTGGGTTTGCCTTGTAAGTTTTCCAACTATCTTTATGGGCGGAAACTTTATTCTTACCACATAATACAAGTCAGCCTGGATTGCTAATCAGAGCTTACAGTAAGTTGCCGAGGATACACAGTTGAAATAATTTTGTGCTAATAATGTTTGTTGATTATTTTTTTATTATTTATTGACACATGTAAATAATTATAGCTCTATTTTTGTAAGTGGGGTGGTTTAGAATAAATGTTTGTATTCATGTTTTTTTCCTGGAGATACTTGTCCAAGTGTAGTGGCATGATATATATATACACAAGTTGTCATTTTTTGAGTTCTACTGCTTGAATAAATTGTTCCGATTCCCAGAGGTGAAATGCAGCACGAGACGATTACAGAATAAATATTTTGTCTATCTACGAGCACTATGTAAACTGTATAATGTACCTTGTTTAACCACACTATTGTTTCTGTAAAATGTGAAAATTTTAAAGATTGGACTATTATATTGGACAAAGTTGATCTTAGAAGAATTGCAGTTTCTGAAATTCACTTTTGTTTGGGTAGTTTGAACTTTTTTTTTTTTTTTTTTTTTTGAAAATTTATTCGTAGCATTTGATTATTTTAACTCACCATGGTTCTACAAGTAAAATATACGCAAACAGCCTGAACGGATGCAAGTCAGCGGGTGAAGTTAAGAGAAATTAAAAAGTTGATTTATTCAGTTGAAGTTCTGTTACTGAAATAGAATAGCATTCTTATTCTGCGTCAATGAGCTCATATAAAAGAGTGAAAATTAGCCATGCAACTAAAATTCAAAATTGGAACAGGATCATTTTAGCTGCAAAAAACAACTATCTGTGTAAATTACTAAGAATCTCTCTCAATGGTCTACTATTTAGTACAGGCTGTTACACATTTCCATTACCATGCCAAAAACACCACAATCACGCAACCAGAGTAGAATATTGGAGCAGCCTTCTCCCCTTCATGAAGTAAATAAGTAACTGCTAAAAGCGAGGGGGGAGGACTAAGCGTCGTAGGTAACTATTTCTCTGATTCAATCAATGCTCTATGATTTCTCTCTAGAAGCCCTATGGGTTACAATTGAGTGACCTAAGACTTCCCTACTCTATAAGTATGCAACAAGGAATAGAAAAGAAGTTACTGCCATGGATTCCTTTTGGCAGTGCTGCTTCTTTTTGAGCTAGCTGAGCTTGTTTTCTGCCAAAAGCAAGAATACCGTTAGTGAGAACAAAATTTTCGTTGGCCAGCAAGGTAAAAAGAAATGGTTGAAGGAAGTTACCGATTTCGATTTCTTGATCTTTCCTCTTAATCTGTTCTTTGGGGGCTTCAATTTATAAATTCGTACCATCCAGTGATGAGATGTAAATGCCTAGAGATACACAAAATACCCAGACAACATCCTCAGTTTTGAAGGATTGGACAATCAGAAATAATCGGTAATATGGCAAGCAAAATCTGTTTTTATTGTAAAATTCTCAACCTGTTTTTATTATGTAGCTTTTGTGGTTATGGGAGGGGGTAAGGGGCTACTTGAGTTCTTGGTACCCTTGTCACTGAATTACAGTACTCCCTAAAATATACAATGTACAATAGCATAAGATTACAGTACCTCCTCAAAATGAGTAAGCTTGAAATGCTTCTTTCCAATTTCAGTCCTCCTAACTCTGTCATATCCTTTCCCATCTGTTTCTACAAATCTGAATAAGGCAAAATAAGTTTTAAGATTGTAGAAAAGAAATAGAAAAGGTTAGAGGCAACAGAGATATCAGAAAAATTATTCAAGATCAACTTAACCCTAACCTGTAGTATGAAAGCTTGTACATTAAACTATTAAGCATCGTTGGTGTTGCCTGAGAGTCAATCCGATACTGACCATCTCTCTGTACAGCAGCACAAATTTTTATATTTAGCGAAATGAGGAATGTAAACGACAAAAAAAGTAAGCAACCATGAACAATAGAGCATCTGCATCTTACTCAGATAACGAGGATGGATGAATTACCCAAAAAGAGAGATCATCGTATAGAAGACAATATAGAGTTAAAGACTAGCTAGGTTAGATTTACTAAATGCTAGAATTAATGTAAAGTTCTTACCAGATAATCAGGTTCCTTAATATGAGGAAATACACCACCTCCTATGCGAACCATCCATAAGAATTTATTGATATCGTCACTGGGGTAGCCCACAAGACCTATGCACAATAAAATCTCAATTCTAGGTCCGTTCTTTTTTCGATGACCAAAAAAAATATTATTAAAGAAACAGCAGTAAGTAGCAAACTAACCTCCAAATACAACGAGGACATATTTAACATCCAAAGAGTTATAAATTTCCCATGCTGCCTTTTCCGGAGAAGACATAGCAGTTCCAACAGTGGCAATGTGAGTATTATTCCAGGTGTTATTATCAACAATGACAGTACGGTTGGCCATGGCTGTTGTTTGGTATCCATAGTCCCACCAAGATGCCACCTGCAGAGAAGTTTTTGTTAGGATTTTGTTTCTTCTAACAATTGGAATCCAAGTTATGATATAATTTACATACTTCCCTTGTTAAATATTAGACCAGACAGAGACACATATATTAATCAATTACAGAAGAGGAGGGATCATACAGATGAGCAAACACAATCGCACAAATTTTGCTAACAAAATTCATGAAGTCTTCCAAGCACTACTGCAATCAATTTGAAAAGTGTTCATAATAATTGGTCGTGAATAATTGAGGGGTCAGGAAGGATATGTCTATTAGGATTTTATCCCCTTATCTAGAAAATGTACATGGAATTATTGAGATAACTAAAATACAGCAATGAATGGCCTCTCTTATATTTTAGTGATTACCAGCTTTTGATTCAGATAAAAGATATTTGCATAAACTACTATTCATCTTCAACCAAAGGCTGACAAACTACTTGGAATATGTATGAAGTAGGTTTCTAAGATAGTATTGGTTTGATCAAAGCTTACAGTTATGAAGTAATAACAGAAGAGACCACAGTAAGCTGATAAGAGACCATAAATCAACAACATCAGTATACCAAACTTTAACAAGCACATGCAAAAGATCAAACCTAATATCACATTGTTATAATAATTGAATTCCTTTCCATACAACATGAATTTATAAGGTAGAATATAAAGGTAACATCAAAGTGATCAAAGATCATATGAAGACAATACACCACTCACTTTATCATCCACCTCAGTGTTGTGGCTTAACCAAGCATATGCCTCCCTGAAATCATCAAAAACATGCAGACCATCATGTGTATGAGATGTCAAAACAATAGATGGCGCTGAGTATGCCTCTGCTGCCGCCCAAACACAGTGTACCTACAAAACACTCAAACATTTAACCAGCAATACACTAGACCAACTCAAACAAATCAAAACAAAACAGAAAGATGCTGGAGAATGGGTAAAAATAATCATGACAAAGCCATCAGAGGTTGGTAAACAGAATAAAACTGAAATGCAATGCAGCAGATGCATCCATGACCATATGAGCCCATTTTTAAATTCCACAAACCTATTTGCAATGACTGGTTCAGTAAACAAAAGAATCTCATGCTAACCATCTCTTGATCTGGAGCCTCTAAACAATTCCCTCAAAGCTAAAGCTAAACTCCCTAAATAAAAATTTACTGTAAGTTATGTGATGTGTTAAAATAATTTTCACAGCCATCAATAAGTAATCAATAATTTTTATTATGGCAAGAACTAGGGGAAAAAAAAAAAAAAAGGTTCCTTTTATTCAGAATTCACTTGGATGGAAGGGTAATGCTGAAACCCAAAATATAAGATTACCAAATGTGTCATTAATTTAGGTAATGAAGTCAGTGACACAAGTTGCAAACATATTTTCTGCCAGTAAAAAGAATTGTGATGAAGGTGCAGATGATAATCAATAGGATAATTAAGGAAAGTAACCATACCACATAAAAACCACCTAGCAAGACAGTTAAGAACAAGGCAATTAGAGATGCTTCAAAGGGTAAAACAAGAAGCCTTCTCTCAACACGGGACCTCAAGGAAACCCTCCCAGAAACTTCCTTGTCCTTGTCCTTGTCCTTTTCCTTCTTCTTTCCCTTTTTCGAAGGCCGCTCTTTTGTGGCATCTTCATTTTTATCCGTTTTTGCCACATTGTTTTGTATCTCAGCATTGCCAGAACTCACTTCTCCTGCCTTGACAGTTAACACAAAACAATTAAATTTAGCCTGCAGATGAATAAAAAGTAATTCAAATGGTTTGAATGTTTAAAAATTCTCATAGCCACCTCATCAGGGGGAGTTTCTAACAATGCAGGCAACTGAAATTTGATAGACCGAGCAAAAACATCAAAAGCTTCCGACAGAGCAATACCAGACATTATGCACGCCGCCGGAGCAAGTACTAGCATAAGGCGCACCTATATCCAGATGAAAAAAATGTGAACAATCAGGGACTAAAACAATTACCGATGAAAAAACAGAGTCAAACTTCTTGCTAATTTTCTCACCATAACACCTGAAAAGTATACTGACATCACAATGTAGAGGACTACAAACGAGCTTGCATCAGACAGCGGTGAAAAACAAGCCTACAAGAAACATAGACCGTTACAGAAAAGTGGAAGATTTCACAATGATGTGAGAGAGAGAGAGAGAGAGAGAGAGAGAGAGAGAGCTCAAGGGGATCACTAAGAATTAATTGCAGAAAAAAATAATACAAATACAACTTACAATAATTCCAGCGGGAACCAAGAATGCCAATACATTGATGTCCATGAAGTAAGATGGCCATGTAGGCGGTTGATGTTCACTAACACTAGCAATGATCGGTATGTATTTGCTTGCATAAGTTCTGTAGTTTTCCACCCAACCCCCAAAAACAAAGCAAAAACAAAAGGAATGTCATAATCAGCATTTATAACCAGAAATCTTAGAGAGAAGAAGCATTAAGTGAACAATTGTCTATGCTCAGAAGAAAATCTGGACTCCAATAAAATGGAAACATCACAACATTAAAAATCAATAGGCCATATTTGAGTGTGTCCAATATCTAAATACTCCATATGACAAGTATGTGGGTTCCACAGGTCATATATACTTCTTGTGATATATATATTACCAATCATAAACGACAAATGATCATCCATAGAGCCATCATATGACAAGTATGTGGGTTCAGGATCATATATTACCAATCATATGACAAGTATGTGGGTTCAGGATCATTCTATCGAGGAGAAGTGATAGAGCCATCATCCTAAGAGAATGATCATCCATAGATATGACTGACGAGAGTTAGTTCTCCACAATAAAAAAGACTTCAGACTTATGGAGGAGTTAAAAGTGAAAAGACCTTTTATGGAAAGCTTCCTGATTTAATCCCTTGGGTGTATATATTACCAATTATAAAAGACAAAGGGCTTCCATCCCTCCACTCTAGCAGTCTAGCATGTATAACTACCGCACCATTAGGGGTTCAAGCTTCAGTGCAGATGTCATGTTAAAAG